CACACACACACACACACACACACACACACACACACAATCAATCAATCAATCAATCAATCAAAGGCGGGGCGGGGCGACCCCGCCCCCACCAATCAATCAATCAATCAACGAAAAACAGTTGATCTGTTTCTTCTTTTTTTCATCTTATTGTTCTTCTTAAAGCCCTATACCTCCTCCTCCTCGCCTCAACCTATTTCTCTTTTCCTTCTTGTAGCCCTAAACCTCCTGCTTGTTCGTCGTCATTGCCTTCTTTGTTTGCAGGCTCAACATGAAGAACAGACCGACAAAGCCTGTTCCGGACCTGACTGCGTCCTCGGGCGGAAGCAAAGCACGCAGCAGTGTCGGACGCCCAAGATCGAACTTTCAAGAGGAGGGGCCAGCAGCGCATGCATTCGACGAGGACCACGAAGAACAAGCAGAGGTCGAAAAGGAGCTCAGTGGACAGGAATACGACGAAGATGAGGAGGACAAGGACAACCCGATGGGAGTAGAGGACGTGGGGGGAGACGAAGATGAGGAGGAGGAAGAAGAAGAAGAAGAAGATGAGGAAGAGGAAGCAGAGGAAGAAGAGAAAGCAGAGGAAGAAGAGGATGAAGAGGAAGAAGAGGAAGAAGAGGAAGATGAGGAAGATGAGGCTGAAGAGGAAGACGAGGATGTTCAGAACGTAGGTAGGGCACGGAAGAGGAGGAAAAAGGACAGTTGGGTGCAGAACATTCTCATGTCGGCGAAACAAACCACGGAACTTCTTCCATTCTTGTGGGTTGTTTGCCTCACAGCTGCCGGAGTGAAGCTGTACGCGCAGACGGAGAAGCACTACAGATGTTATGGCGAGATCACTTTTGCAAGTTTGGTGATGGAAGAACCGGACTCGTTCGCCGAAATGTGGGTTTTAACGGGCAAAACGCTTTTCAGCTTCCTTCTTGCCTCGAAGAAAATAGTGTCCAACAAATTCCACATTGACAACAAGAGGCTGGCAGCAGCGAGCAAAAAAGGCTGCAGGGTGCGTATCCTCATTGCCCTGAACTCTTATAGTCCTATAACGACCGAGCAGTACTGTATGTCTGTCTGCTAAGTGATTACAGTTCTATAATCTCTGCTAAGTGATTATAGTTCTATAATCTGTGAGATTATACTGTATGTCTGTCTGCTAAGTGACTACAGTTCTGTAGTTCTTTACGACTCTCAAAGATTGTAGAACTCTTATAGTTCTATAATCTCTGCTAAGTGATTATAATTCTAAACTCTGAGAGTCTGTCTGTTTGTCTGTGTCTACGTGTCTTTCTGTTTGTCTGTGTCTGCCTGTCTGTCTCTCTGTCTGTCTGTCTGTCTGTCTGTCTGTCTGTCTGTATGTCTCTGCCTGTCTGTCTGTCTGTTTGTCTCTATGTCTCTGTGTCTCTGCCTGTCTCTTTGTCTCCGTATGTCTGTCTGTCTCTGTCTGTCTGTCTGTCTGTCTGTCTCTCTGTCTCTCTGTCTGTCTGCATGTCGGTTTGTCTGTCTATCTGTTTGTCCGTTTGTGTGTCGGTGTGTTTGTCTGTCTGTCTGTCCGTCTATCCGTCTGTGTGTCGGTGTGTTTGTCTGTCTGTCCGTCTGTGTGTCGGTGTGTTTATCTGTCTGTCCGTCTGTGTGTCGGTGTGTTTGTCCGTTTGTGTGTCTGTGTGTCAGTGTGTTTGTCTGTCTGTCCGTCTGTCCGTCTGTGTGTCGGTGTGTTTGTCTGTCTGTCTGTCTGTCTGTTTGTCTGTCTGTCTGTAAGTCTGTCTGTCTGTCTGTCTGTCTGTGTGTCGGTTTGTATGTCTCTGCCTGTCTGTTTGTCTCTGTGTCTCTGTGTCTCTGTGTCTCTCTGTCTCCGTATGTCTGTCTGTCTGTCTGTCTGTATGTATGTATGTCGGTGTGTTTGTCTCTGTCCTCTGTCTGTCTGTTTGTCTGTGTGTCTCTCTGTCTGTTTGTCTGTCTCTGTGTCTCTGT